CGAACGTGTGCACGGAGGCACATATAGACGCATGTATAATCTTACTGCTGCGTTATCTTTATTAACACCTGGCCAGCTGGGCTTAGCGCTTTTGACCCCGATTCTTTTTCCTTTAATCAGAAGTGCAAAACCAGAAGTAACTTGATTTTTGGGAGGAGTGCTTTGAGTTACAAATAATCCATCTATTTACTTCTCCAAATCAGGGTCCCAGCTGCCAGGGGGCAAGAGGCAGGGTACAGGCAGGTCTGCCACAGGGCTAGCAGAAAGACACACAACCATTCACACTCACGTTCACACGTAGGGGCAATTTAGAATCACCAGTTGATCTAACCCCACTAACTGCATGTCTTTGGACAGTGGGAGGAAGCCCGAGCGCCCGAAGAGAACCTGCGCAAACACGGGGAGAACATGCACAGCTCCACACAGAAAGGCAGGAAACCTTGGAACCGTTTTGCTGGGAGGCAACAGTGCTAACCACCACGCCACAGTGTTACCCAAATAAACTCAAAGCTTCACACACTGAGCACTGTGAACTTGTTTTTTCCTAAAAATTCTCCTTCCTTAGGTATTGTGCGACATTTTCTCCCTATAGCACATTTTATAGTTGTACGTCTTTATTAATTTTGTGCATTTAGTTTTTTTCTTTTAAATCTACTGTAAATTGCTCAGGTTGTGTTTTAGCTGTGGAGCCACGAGTGAAGCCGTTTGCAGCGTCACTTCCCGTCATTGCTAACAATTGTTCACTCTTTTCAGTGTGAAAAAAAAATATTTGTAGTGAATTTCAGTATCTTTTACATGCAGAACAAGAGCAGAGAATCATTGTTGTTCTGCAAAGTAATTGTCATTTAATTACCTTTGATTGTAGCATGTAACGAGTTACATTGTTACATTACCTAAAGTAACAGAATTACAGTGCTACACTACTTTTTAACAATTAAACGAATAAAAAGAGACCAAATAAGTCACATGAACTATGAGACAACATTTACATTCTGAAAACATTTCCACTTATAAAATTCAGCGTTATAATAGTAAGCTCAACTCTTACTATTCTGCACATTTTGGCAGGTTTACAGTGCACCGCACATAAACGGAGCAGAGCTGCATCAAGGATATAACAGACAAGGTGCACTTAACTGTCGAGCACGTCTATATTATTGGGTGGGGGTGGCTTAAGGTTCAGGTGCACCTGTCACACCGCACCACTGTCAGGAGGGCAGAGCCAGTGACACTGGGGTGAACATTGTGCCAGTTGCCATGACAGTGTCAGCAGTGCTGCTCTGGGAGACCTCTGCTCTGAACCCTGTCAGCGTGGTTTCCGTGGATACAGGGCACCGCCGACAGTCCTGGCCGCATCCCGTAAAGGTTAATTAATACAGAGTTTCCACCTCGCCTCAGCTGCTGTCCGTGTCCTTTCCCGATGCCGTCCTCACCTTTGGTGTCCGCCGAGCGGACCGACATAGCGGGTCACACGACAGGACAGCAGCCAGTGATTATGACGAAAGGCCACGGCAACCCACCACACAGTCACCGGGCTGAATATTTCACATAGAGGGCAACAGCGAGGGCCAGAAACAACAAGGTGGCAGGCTTCTAATCAGCCTGAAATCCATCCTCGGGGCCAAGGTCCACAGGTTGTCATGACAGTAAGGGCAACAAGGTGGCACTTTTAATGCCACCTTGGAAGTGAGCTGGGATTAGACGCTGGATTTAAGATGATCAGTGAGCAAGTAAGTCTGAGCAGCAGCAGGAAAACAATCAGCTTGGCAATTTAAAAAGACCTTTTCATACCAAAGGTCTAAAATAGGTTGATTGGACTCTTTGCGGCGAACTCCCTCGAAGTGAATAACTTAACTGAGACTGGCCCATCAGCGTCAGTTACAGTTCAAGGCCATCTTTAAGCTGGTGACCTAAATCTGACAACAACAAAAGCCAACCTGGTCACACTGGGCCATCTGACGTCTGTTGTCATGCTAATCTTAGATGCTCGGGATTAGACTATTTTCCCGCCAGCCTGCTTAGCACAATCACAATAGAACGGCCTGTAAAGACACGTTTGACGGGCACAGTAAACATGTCGGCATGTTTACCTTCCACACAGCCTGGCAGCATCACTAACACGCTGGAAGTCAGCCCCACAGTTAGTGAGAGAAAGGAAACAAAAAAAGAGCACTGACGGTTTTAACACAGGGAATTCTGTTAATCTGCTGCTGGCAACGAACCTTCGGAATTACAGTTGACCTTGTCTATGTTTTTGCCCAAAGACACTTCTATACAGAGCAGACAAGGTAGCATGGGGACACACTGACACTGCACTATATCAGTATATATACAAGAGGCCCAAAGCTGCTGCATTCACTGCATCACACGAAGCACAAATTACTTGAAACAAAAGCGAGGCCCTTCAGGCTCTCGAGATGCATTTAATGACAGAGCCAGTGTCAAAAAGCCCTGCCACGGCAAGGGCACGGGAAAATGCGTTCAGTGACACAGCTCCGTTAACAAATAAATGACCTTAATATAGAGAACGCCGTCCTCCATCCTGAGCCCCTAAAGCACGCGGCCCTCTTCCTCGCCACTTTCACGATGCGTGCATTACTTTTACATGCTCTCCCCTGGTGTATACATTGAAAATGACCTTACACATCTGTTAACATGTCATCTCATTGGTGGTGGCACCCAAAATGCCTGACCTCCACCCCCTCCTCCCACAACACCAATGAGCTGCTGTATGGTTTCTGTGGTGATTATCCATTATCCTTGACAATGTCAGCCAATGACAGAGCAGGCACCAGTCTAAAATGATTTTTACCCCTACAGTCAGCCGCGTACATGCGCGGGGGAGGGCAAATGATGGGGGTGAGGCTTCATCATCCCTTGGCTGGTTGACTCTTCATCTATTTCTCTTTCCGTTTCACTCCTCTGGTACTTAAAAGACACTCTGAGCAGGAAAGGTCGCCGCACTCTCGGTCGCACCACAAGGTCGACCAAACGTGTCGATGCAGATGTCTCGGATTAAGTTTTAAAAACGCGAGCTTCGCTCTCCTCCCCTAACTCCCAGATTACACTTCCTCCACCGCCGCCGCCGCCAGGAACAAACAAACACACTTCTTGGTAATCCAGTGTTTTTCCCCTTTTCCCAATCTTTAAAAAAAAGCGAGTTTCTAAACGACCTTCATCGTCAGCAATGGTAATCCACTTAAGCCATTTAAAATGTATGAGACCAAACAAAAGAATTAAAACGGGGGTAAGAGCCAAAGGAGCGGCAGTTAAAGTCAAGGTCATCCATGCCGCCAAGGCTTTTCCACTTGATGCAACAGCTGGTGTCCATGCAAAGCTCTGGGCGTTAATAAAAAGTGACAATGCTGCCTGAGCGGTGTGTATTACTAATGTCTGACACCAGCCTGGCAGATGTGTTCTCCCTGCATTAAAGGGGAGTCAAGGTTAAAGGAATTTAAAAGGAGAGGCAATGCCTAAACACTATTATATCATGTAATCTGCAGCCCAGCCCTGCTGCACATACTCAACAGGGTAGCTCACTTACACATGCAGCGTGACCGCTATTTGTAAATTCAATATGGCCTGACATGATTAAATAAGACAAAACATAAGCTACCTGACCAAATGCAGTTGCTCCGAGCCTTCGGCGAGCGAACGAGTCCGCGAGAGGAAAGTTGAATTAAAAAGCTCGTGTTCACCTTGAGAAAGGTAAAGAAGGGGATAAACATGCTAGTGAACAGCGGGAGAGCCTGAGCAAGAAAATGCTTTTGCAGATAAGTCAATCGGGACAAAATAACACCGAAACGCAATACACAGAAACACGCACGCCCACACAGTGAGAACTAGGGCACACTGACCCACTTCTTAGGATGCATTGACCAAACAAGTCATGCATAGCCCGCACACACCCCCGTGTGAGCGCGCTCAAACCCATGGATGCACCCCACGTAGAGGAAATGCGATATGTGAGTGCAGGAAAGTCAGATTTCTTGACTTAAGCGGCACAGGTTGCCTGCTGGAACATCCTACTCACAGTGTGCTGGGGACATTTCAGAAAATGGGACCAGAGTGCTAAACTTCTCAGGCTGCATCTGGCCTCGGATGAGGAGCGGGGGCGGAATTTAACTTCATCGGTACAAAGAGTTCTTAGGGTTGCGAGAGAGACAGGATAGAGGAATTCATGCATGCTGATGAGTCATCCAAGCACTTCATAGCCCAGCTGAGCAGCTAGCCAAACTAGCCTGTGCATCCCTGCACTGTATCACAGCATCGGACACTCTTTACCTTACATGCCCAGGCTCGCGTGGATGCGCTCACCAAAGTGTTTGCGTCCATAGTAAATATTTGTGTGCCATTTGGAAGACCCACCCAAGGGCCATTTCCTGAGTGGCTGAGAATTAGCGCATCAATTAAACACACACACACACACATTCCTTGTTAATGAGCCGTGGCTGCCATCAATCTATA